TGTACCCAACAGTGGTGGTGGGGATGGTGAATATAGGATGCACTGTGTGTTTTTCACTTACCACTGTTCATAGCGTTGCTTGTAAATTTAAAAAAGAGGATATGGTATAGATTATTACCATTTGATAAATGTAAATTTACATGTTGCACCGGTTTATGCGTCTCCTCACGTATGCGTCTCCTTTAGTCTTGCGGACTAAAGTTACAGCCAACTGCCAAGTACCTGTAGTAATTGTACACATGGTTTTCACCTGTCCATCGAGCGGCTAGCGTACAGTGGGCACTGGACTGTGATGGTTGCCATCTCAGCCTGTCTAAGTTATCCCCCTCGTGCCGCCGGACAGCCTCCGCGGGCGCTGATGAATTTCGTGGTGCGCTACCGTCCGGACGAGCAACCGTCGCTGCGTCCGCACCACGACTCCTCCACCTACACCATCAACGTGGCGCTCAACGAGCCGGGCAAGGACTATGAGGTCAGTGTCGGTAGAATGGTAAGCGATGGGATGGAGCGATTATGGTGGGAACTAAGGCGAGCCACTTGGAGGTACTGCAAGGGAGTCACTACGAAGATAATACTGGGAGCCCATCAGCTCGAATCAGCTCGGGCAGTCCCACTGCTAACACTTACATTTCTTGGTTACTGGAATGCTGTCTGCCCACCCTCTCTGCCTTTGGTAATGCCTGTCACGCGTTTTCCGTCCTGTCTCCGTGTCTTTCCATGTGCCTGTGACGGTTTTCTGTTGCTCTCGCAGGGCGGCGGGTGCCGGTTCCTGCGGTACGACTGCAAGGTGCTCCAGTCGCGGCCCGGATGGATGCTGATGCACCCCGGACGGCTCACCCACTTCCACGAGGGTCTGCCCACCACCAAGGGCACGCGCTACATCATGGTATCGTTCATTGACCCGTGAACGGATGGACGCCGGCCCGGTCTCCTGCCTGCTATAGGTAGCGGGACTGCATAGAGCAGCCACTCACAGGCGACCCGGCGGTCGGTCTAATCACTAGCGTCTTTTGTGCTGTCTAGCAGTCTCTTAAATGCCAAGGACTTTGTCGTTTTCTACGGCATTGGTGGTTCCGATGGCAATGCACGCTGGATATCAGTGAACTCTCGGCATTATACACAGTGATTGGCTGATGATCATGGAAAGCTGTCCAGAGGCCTGTTTCACTAATGCGGCCTGTTCTCAGATGTTGAGAATGCGCTCACAACTGAAGGTCACGTTTTTATAGTATGGTATTTTGCAATGAATATTTCCATTGCTGGCGTTGTTCATAACAATATCGTGTGGTTGTAAGTGGAATTTTATATGCATTTGATAGCGCTACGTTTGTAGATTTCCGCTCATTTTCCTGTCAGTAAATGTATGGAAATGTCAGCCACTTCATTTTTTTGTGCTTTTTGCAATTTAATGTGTTGAGATTATCTCGTTCGGCTGAGCTATGTCTCGTATCTGTTTCTCTGCGGAGTGTTTTACTCTGCCGTTTAGTGACCAGATGGCTGAGTTGTCCAGCTGTCTGGTTACTGCGAAACTCACAGTGAGCGGTCCCACTGCCAGTGCAACACTTAATTGTGGGACTCCAGTCCGCTGCTGCTGTCTTCCAATACATGCGCTCTGAGGTATCGGTTGTTTGGGGCTGTCGAGGTACCGGAGCCACTGCGCCGTGCTGAACTGAGCTGGTGTCACTGCGGTAAGTGATGACACAGAGGGCAATCGGATGGGCGGAGGAGTCCAATGGCGATTGGAGCATATTCACCGATATCGGTGAATGTGTGTAATATGTGGGTGGGGCGAAGAATTCCAGACCCTGGTCCATAGGTTAGTTGGTAACCGGGCGCACCTAGTTCTATCTTAGGTTGTCTTCTTCTGGACGACTTGCGCTGAACTCCAACCCATCAGACAGCCATTGGCTGGCTCGGATGTCGGAAATCTAACCCGCCTCTCTCCGTCTCACCCCGACTCTTATCCACGTCTGCAGAAGTCCAAGACGAACCGTCTGATCAAGTACGACCCGGTACCGACCGACGACATTCAGGTGGAGCAGGTGGGGTTCTACGACCAGTGGATGGCCTTCCTCTATCAGTACGTCACGCCGCTGCAGCAGAAGGTCTTCGAGGGGCACGTCAGAGAGGTGAGAGTGCGTTAGGACCGGAGACGATTGTAATGCTCGTAAGACCGGAGGATCCGAATCTCGAGATTCGGATGCTTATTAGACGCGGATATGACTCTTCAAGGGCCTGCAATCAACAGGAACATGTTCTAGCAATCCTGAGTTGGGGTAGTGAGTCGTTGGCTGTTAGGGCACCTTGGCCGATTCGTACTCCGGGTAGACAGGGTAGACGGTTCGTGCCGTTGAAGCTTGACTGTGTATGATGGGACGGAAAAGTCAGTTTTGGCCTGATAAGTGTCAGTCGGCCTTCTCCCGCTACTGACGGCCGCCCCTTCCCTCAGCCGCCGTACGCCGGCGCCAACTTCGTGGTGCGCTACCGCTGGGACGTGCAGGCGGCGCTGCGACCTCACTGCGACAGCTCCACCTACACCATCAACATCGCGCTCAACCAGCCCGGAAAGGACTACGAGGTCAGTGTCTGTCCTGATCCTTCCACCTGGTGTGACTATGCCTGCGGGCTGCGTTAGAGCTCTCATTAATCGCCACTTAAAGACCGCAGTCTCTTGTCCGCTCCGTTTGTATGAATCAAGTATGAACGTAGGATGTGTGCACTTGCAGTATATGTCACCACGTCACCATGAAGCGCATTGCGTTTGATGCCATACGCAATATGCATGCCAACGACCTGGACAACTGACCAGTGACCACTGACCTGCCACCCCCCCCCCCCCCACCTCTCAGGGCGGCGGCGTGCACTTCACGCGCTACAAGTGCTCGGTGACCGACTCACGGCTCGGCTGGGTGCTGATGCACCCTGGACGACTGACCCACCAGCACCAGGGACTGCCCACCACCAACGGCACCCGCTACATCATGGTGTCGTTCGTCGACCCGGACGTCTGATCGTCGAACGGTCGGATGAAGTGATGGTTCGTCGGAGGATCGGTCGGTCAGTCAGTCTGATGATCGGTTGGTTGGATTGCAGCTGCAACCTGTGAAGTATATGGGTGGTATAGTGTGATTGCGTGGTATTCGTGCTGTACGTACGTTCGCCATTGGCTGTCCTTCGCAGTGAGTTTGTTCCTGGAATAAGAGCGGTTCGTATGAGGCCATACGGTGAGATCAATGCACTTTTTAAGGAGACAGGTTTAGGTTCCCACACCAGATTGATACCAGCGTCTTTATCGTAATGCTTGTTTGGACAGATTGTGAAACGCTGTGAAGAGATCTTCATACTTACATGAGCTTTACATTTTTGAACAGGGTCATATTCTGACCTGCTGTCTTTGAGGAATGCATAGTTTTGTGTGGTATGTTTTTGGCTTGACACGTAGTGTGGTAGTCGCTTACGAGTATATGTAGCTGCTGTTAGTCGGTTTTGCTTTCGGCAAGGGGTGCTGTGGTTCGGGCGCTGACTAGGACGGCGGGTGTTGTACGTTGTAACGCGGACGCGAGACTGTGCCGTCTTTCTTTTCTGAGACAACTGTGTGTATAGCATGTAAGTTTACAAAGTGCCTTCACAGATCCTTGCGAATGATCTGTATGTTGGGTACGGATCTGATATTTACAACGGTGTGGACATAGACCCAACGTCCGGCCCGGAACACGCGAGCCGTCGTGTGAAGTGGATGACGAATCTCAGCAGCCCCTGTTCTGATCGAACCGACCTTTTCAGCGAGAGATGATCGGCGATGTAGGTGATCTCGAGGCCATAAACAGTCCGTGGCCAGGCGGCTTAGGTCTGTAATCGCTGTCGGGCCAATGTGCGTACGAGCTTCTATGGAAGGCAACGGCAGAAAGACAAACATGCTTTATTTACGCCATTGATGCAGTATGAACAAACTGTCTTTTGTTGTAGCAATACACTCCATATAAAGAGCTCGAGTATCTAAACTGGACCAAATACGTCCCCAAGCTGTGAGATTCTGCGGCGCTGTGGGCCATCCGCGCCCTCCCGAGATGTCGCCTTATGCCACCGGTAGATACAATGTCATCCAATCACAGCGCCAAACAGCTCATGGGCCCCTTTCTCCCCACCAGAGCACTGGACAAGGAGAAAGGTAGGATTGTCATGTGCGCGCAGTAATAATGAATACATACAAAGCATTACATATTTAACCCTCGCATGTGTAGGGGGGGGGGTCGGATGGACCCCCCCCCCATGGTTTTTCGCGAATAACTCGCGTAAAAAGCGGCCGATCGCGACGAAACTTTCAGTACCCTCGCATTGATCAATTTTACACCTACCCTGAAAATTTCATGACCCTGACCCAAATGACCTTTGACCTGTGACCTCTTTTCCGAGACCATGTTTGGCCGGAATCGCGATTTCGCGTATGTCGGCTCGCACTAGCCGCGTGTTTGCAAGCTTTTCGTGGTTTCAAACGTTCAAACATGTGATTTGATGTTACTCCCGTGTGTGTCAAGGTCACCTGAAGGTCAGGTCAGGTCATTGACCTTTGGTGACCTCGGGTGACCTCGGGTCACTTTTTCGAGTTTTACATGTTTCTAGGCTAGTTTTTGGAGCTGAATTCGAATTTAGCAACCATTTGAACATTTACGAAGTAGTTTTGGTGACTTCGTAACATGTTACGAAGCTGTCAGAGGCGGTTGACACGTACTACGAATACCCGTCACGACGCCTACTGGTTGACCTGACCTGACCTGACCCGACCTGGTCTAAATGCTTCAAGACATCATCTGTGATCAAAACTAACACGATATTCGTGATCAGCACCCCGAAAAACCCCTTAGCAGCCACACTTTACGACTTTCTAACAGGTCCCGATTTTCCCGACTTTGGGTCATTGACCTGACCTGGAAGGTCAACCAATGACCTAGGACCTTAAAATTGGGTATCATCGGCTTCCTCTCGTCACGGGCAGCACGCTCGTTTTTTTCCGCGAAGCTCTAGCTCGATCAGGGGCCAAACGGCAAGGGGGGGGTCCAACCGACCCCCCCCCCCCCCTACGCATTAGAAGCTGGCAAACGCCGCACACATGCGAGGGTTAAGCGACCATTGCATGACATGCACATAATTCACTCGCGGTGAATAGTAAGCTCATTGCAGCACCCCGATTATACATGTGTCGAATATGGCATTCAAAGGAACTCATCCCGCATTCGACTTGCTTCACGCTGACCAGATGCAACAACCAACGTAAGGTGGGATAGGCTATCTCTCAACTGACACAGCCTCGGATCAGCACCGACAATAGGTCCGGGGGCACTCATGGGACGCCGCACACCGCCGTTCCATACCCTACTCGCCAAAGGTCCCCGCTGACTGACCGGTGACTTGAGAGGGACATTCCAGGGCCAAGAGCGCCCGCCGGCCCCTCAGGCCATACGCATAATCTCTGCGCGCACCACGTCGGCGCGCTGCACGTTGTGGCAGCGCAGCAGGGCGGCGCCGTGCTGGTCGGCGCGCTCGGCCAGCACCAGCCGCAGCTGGTCGGGTGGCACCGTGCTGGCCAGGTGGTCCAGCAGGGCGGCCAGCGCGCCCTGCTGGCCGCCGTCCGGCTCGGCCGACTGATGGGCGGCCGACAGAGCCTGCACGGCCGTCCGCCAGTCGGACGGGCTCTTACACCGCTCCTGGCGAGCGGAGATGGAACACGGTCAGCGATATGGGGAACAAGAGATTCACCATTCTCATTTCGAAAACAGGTGATCAGGTGAAAGAAGGCTTTCACAAGAACTGCAACAAGGACTGCCAAAAGCACCACTTCCGATTTCAAATTCACAAGTTTCATGGGGAGGCTTAGCAAAAGCGTAGCCGTGAGAAAGTCATCTGGGAGCCCTAAACATTCAATTCCAACATTCCAAGGGTTAATTTATGGACATCACCCCACCACCTAACCCTTCCCTGGCTTCTAACCTCACCCACTGTCCCCTCACCTTGGCGTGTTCGAGCGCCGCCTCGGGGTACTTTTCAGCCAGCAGCGCGGCGGCGTCAGCCAGCTCGGAGCAGAGAGCCAGCAGCGCGTCGTGGCCCACCGCCGACGGGTGGGCCGAGAGGAACTCTCGGATGTGTCGCCGGTCCTCGGCAGACGGCAGGTCCGAGCACAACAGCGACTGGAGGCACAGGCAGTAAGGGACAGAGGCCATCAGCCGCTTCACTGTGCTGAGATCGCTGAGCGACAAGCCACTCACCAAGCAACATTTTAATTTGCAGTCCTATTTATATGCCTTCCTCTGCCAACAAATCCCAGCATATTTCTTCATAAAATTAACCCCTCAGCATTGAAAGATCGAGTTCATGCTGGGTCCAGGGTAGAGCGGGCAACCAGCACGTCTCTGCTCAGGTCACAGCGCCCCTCACCTGCAGCATGACGAGGTCGACCAGTCGCGGGTCAGCCTCCATATCTGCCAGGATCTGGGCCGGCGCGCGGCCCGCGAACGGCGGCACCAGATTCAGCCAGCCGGCGCGCGGCCCGTACAGCGCGCCCAGCCGGTGCCGCTCCAGGGCCGGACCGGTGGCCGGCGCCGCGCCCGCCGGCGGGAACGCGCCCACCGTGCCGCCCAGGTACATCCTGACGAGTAGGGTGACCGCCTGGCCGGCGCGCTGCGGCCTCCCGCCCGCCTGCAGGTGCCGCTCCAGTACATCCCGCAGAAGGAGCTCGTAGCGGAGCGCGGCGCGCCGGTCGCTGGTGTCGGCCGCCTCCAGCAGCAGGCCGGTCAGCTCGGCCAGCGGCGGCCGGCCGGCGGCCGCCAGCGTCGCCAGTCCAGCCGCCAGCAGGTCGGGCCGGCCGTCGGCCAGCAGCTCGGCCAGCTCGGTGAGCCGGCGCCGGCCGCCGCCCTCTGCCACCAGCAGGTGCGGACAGCCGGCCGGCAGCGCCTCCTCAGAGAGCGGCTCCAGCAGCGGCGCGCGCCGCTCGGCTGTGCCGCCCCCGGTGCGCGCCAGAAGCAGCAGCGCCGCTAGCCGGGCCGCCTGCGCGGCCGGCTCGCTCAGCTCCGTCTCCTCCAGGAGCTGTTCGAGCGCCTCGAGCGGGGGCTCGGCGCGGAACTCCACCAGCGGCCCGGCGGCCAGCAGCACACCGGCCAGCGCGTCCGGCGCGCGGAAACTCAGCACCGACAGCGCCTGGTTGGCAGTCTGGTAGGAGAGCGGCGGCCCGTCGGCGGCCGACAGTGCGCTGCTCAGGTAGCTCTCCAGACCGGGCGCCTCGGCACACTGGGTCAGGACGTCCTCGACAGAGGCGGCGGCCAGCTGGAGCCAGGGCGCCGCGCGCGGCCAGTCCTGCTCACTGGACGACCTGTGTCAGGGCGACAGGATCCGGCCAGGTCAGAGGGTAATTTACCACAGGCATGGATATTGGATAGCTTTAAATAATTATCAATAGACATATACCGACAAAGACCTGCCACGGGCTCAAGGCAGACGGGCGGAGAAGTACCGTTCCAGTTAGCCGATGGCTCATTAGAAAACTTCCCAGCCAAGGCTCAACTAGTCTCTCAAATAGTTGTGTGAACTGAATATCTACCAGCCCGGCCCATTGATTCTCATACGAGCCCCCCCCCCCGCGCCCGTACCTCAGCAGGTAGTATCCGACGTTGGCCGCTGAGCTGTTGTACTCAGTAATGAGCCGGTCGGAAGGTGGCCGACCGAGCTGCCATCTGACGGCCGGTCGCAGGACCATGTGCGCCTCCTCCAGCAGCGCCTGACACATGGCCGGGGCGTGGTGGCCGTGTGTGCCGCCCAGCCGCGCACACTCGGCGTACAGCTCCTCCGGCGGCGGCAGCCGCAGTAGGTAGAGAGTGGCTGAGTCGCTGCCACACACACACACACACACAATCAGGAAACATCGAACAATTTCGCAGCACCATCCTGGTCTTATCAGAGTTCGGTCCAGTCCAGTCCCTCACTTGTCTCCAGTTCGTCCCGATCCGTGCTATCCCCAGCTTGGTCTACCATGTCTCTAGTCACGCCCTATATCGTCAACCCGGTTCCCTCATTTATGCCCGGCCCACTGCGTTTCCAGGCACACACCCCACCCGTCTCCCGTGCGGTCCAACTCACCTATCCTCTGGCCCAGAAGCGGCCAGAACCAGCACGCCATCTCCGACACACATGTGAGTGACATTGACGAACGGCCGGATCCCGAGCAGGAACCCTGCCTCGGCCGGGTCGGGGCACGGCTCCGTCGGCCGCTCCAGACGACTCAGGCGCCGCGTGTCGCGCACGGTGTAGCTCTCTGGAAAGGAGAGAATGGTGTGATTGTGGGCGGTATGGGGTGGTACAGGATGGTGGGACAAAAAGGCACAGAAGAAAACTGGTTCAATCGAATGGCAGGACCCATGAGCCGAACATGGACGAGGTGAAGTGAGGCTAGGATGCTTTGTTTAGAATTTACCGTAATATTGAGCTTATGTCTAGTTTAAACTTTAAAATCTAGGAGATCAGGTTTTCCTCAGCGCCACTGAGACCGAAGGTTGGGAGGGGTAGGGGCACAATTATCGACAAGACATAAAAAACGCAGTAACAGACTGTATATCAATTCGTAGAACATTGCCAAACAGATGTGGGAGCGTTGGCACAGCGCGCCAACTGCTACCAGCTGACGACATCGGTCAGAGTCGCAGGGCGGTTCCTCTGAACAAACCACGCGATATGACGCGGCTGATACAAGTATTTACACTGACGAGAGCGTTTCCGTGACGGGAAGACACTGATGATAACATCCAAACGAGGTCGGGGCTACACAGCTGGCCCGAGGTCAATGAAATTTAGTTCCCGTCCACAAATTTGACCGGGCTATCGAACGCCGTTTGAATTTTACAGATCCGTCCAGTAGTTTCAGAGATACGAGGGATGCCCCCCCCCCTCACCGCGCGGAAGGTGGCTGGGAGGCCCACCGCCTGCCGGGTTAAAAGTTGACATATCATCCGTCATTGACAGTCAATCTGTGCGTACGCTAAACAATGACTTTTAAATTATCTCGTATGGAAAATAAAGAAACATTTTTTTTCAATTTTTTTTAACACATAGTTTTTCGATTAGCTAGATGGAGCTGGACGTCAGGGCTTGCGCACCAATCTCTACTTAGGGCGGACACCCAGTTCCCACAGCCCAACTCACTCACCGAGGCCAATGTGTGTGTGACGGCACAGCCCCACTCACTCACTCACTCACTCACTCACTCACTCACTCACTCACTCACTCACTCACTCACTCACTCACTCACTCGCTCACTCACTCACCAAGGCCTGTGTGTGTAACGGCGTGCAGCATATGCGCCTCCCGGGCGGCCAGCAGTAGCGGAGACGTATACGAGTGGCTGCCCACGAGGGCGGCGTAGGCGGGCGGGTCGTCGGCCGGTCGCAGCGGCGCCACCAGGTACAGCCGGCCCTCGTGGGAGGACGAGAAGAACACGGAGACGGCGGAGAGCAGGCCGCGCTCGGCAGAGTGCAGACCGCCGGCGTCGCCCGACTCTGAGACACGGTAGGGACAGCACACGGGTCACAGGGGAGCATACAACCCGTATGGAAGGCATATACGTATGTTGCACGTCAGTACGGCAAAAACTGGTCATTGACCACATGCATTTCCATTCGTTCCACTAGAAAGGTAAGGGCAACTGAGCACCTGAAAAAAACTGAGTTCCCTAATCAATTTTAATCAGAGACGTAAGAACATTTGCGATTTTCCATACCCCACGTAATTACTTTAATTCACTTGGCTAAAAATAGTTTTGCTCCCAAGCCAGCCAGCACTCCGCACGTCCCGGCCTACCTTCAACCAGTCACCCCTCCCGGCAGCGCACCTCTCTGTCCGTTGGTGAGGCCGGTCTCGGCGCGCTGGTAGAACGGTGTGAGGCACAGCGCGCCGCCCACCAGGCTCTCGCCGTCGGGCTCTCGCCAGTAGAGCAGCGACTCGGCGCTGAGCTGGGGCCGGCCGGCGGGTACCAGCAGGCGCGGCGCCGGGCCGGCGTCAGCGGCAGTCGGCAGCGGCCGGTGGAGCGCCGGGAGGGTCAGACGAGCGGCCGGCAGCGCCGGGTCCCAGGTCATCATCTGAGGGAACAGCACTCAGGTTCACAGCATGATGGGGGCTGAGGACCCAAGTCATCATCTGGGGATCAAGCGTAGCATAGGTCGCAGCAATGAACACGGCTTGCAGCTAGAGCGGGACCCAGATCCGGCCACAGCGGAGCTGGCCAGTGGCCAGTCTGGTCCAAGCTCACTACCTAAGAGAGCAGCCACCCACGCCACAGAAAGACTATGGGCTTGGCCGGTATTCCAGCCACTACGGACGTAGGATCTCGATATTTCCTTAATTACAGCGGGGAGGATTGGGGCTGATCGTTCCCCACCGACCTGCAGATCGTCCTCCTCCAGGTCCTCTTCCCCGTCCTCCTCGGCAGGCTCCTCGGTCCTCCGTCGCTCGGAGCCGGACGCTCCGCCCGCCGTCTCGGCGCGCAGCCTTAGCAGCTGGAGTCGGTCGGCGCCGGCACACAGCAGCAGCTCCTCACACAGCGCGAGCTCGGTGACCTCGAACGGCAGCTCCAGCTGCACCACCTCCTC